CGGGCCCGCGGGGGCGGGAGACACCGGGGTGGGCCCGGCCCTCCCCGCACCGGCCCGGCCGCGCTGCCCCCGGGGCGCTGCCCATCGGCCCCGCACCCCGGCACGGGCGGGAGCCGCGCTCGGGGAGCTTCCAGGTCGGGCTGATGTCAGAGGTCTGGAATTCAGCCGCCCGGGCTCCGCGGGGAGCTGCGGGATGCTGCGGGTCGGAGCSGCGGGCTCGGCACGGAGCGGGGATGCGGGAACCCACCGGGAGCTCCCGCCGCTCCTGGAAAAGGGACCCCAGCAWCGCGAACTGGTCGGCGAGGGGGGTTGTGACACCACTGGAGTCACTCACAGAAATGAATAAATGATGCGAACGAGGAATTGGTCCCCTCTGTCTTAAACTTGCCCCTGTGCTGAGGGTTTTTTTCTAGCGCCAGCAGCAACTACAGAAACACGAAGCATGTTTTCAACGACACTCGATCACCTGTAATTTAAAACACAGAGAAAATGCAAATCAACACCCATTTCTGTTTAAAGACTTAACTTATTGCAGATTCAATATAAAATATCAAGATATCTATTAATATATTCTATATAAGTTCTATATATTTAGMTATACCTATCTAAATATCAATATACCTATCAAATAGTAATTAACTACTAAATACCAATATACCCATCAARTATCAATATACCAACAATTATATAYATAYAACCATATATGCAAATCTAACTATGTACACATATAACTGTATAAGACTATACACATCCATCAATGTAACTACAAACATATAACCATATAYTATAACTATACACATATATAACTATAGCTACACACACATATATAAATATAGCTGTGCACACTTATAAATATAACGATACACACAGGGAGCCCAGCTGGCAGCTGCTGCACATTTTCACATGCTCTCGCTGTTCCTTGCTTTCCAAAGCACCCCCACTTGAAAGGCACATCTGCCAGCAGATGGAGATCTAGGAAGAAGCGGGAATGCTGAGTAAATGTGGGGCCTTGTGTGTGTGTGTCCCCTGGTACACACATGGCGGGTGTGCTCTGCTCAGGGACTATAAAATACAGCTCCAACTCAACGGGAATTTGAGGCCTCCTGTTGAAAGAACAGGAATCCTTCTCGTTCTTCAAACCTCAAATATAAAACAACAGCAACAAAACAAATTATCAGCAAAATGCTCCCATGCTCTRAGATCTTTTGCCTTCACTCCCATGGATATCAGCTGCCCACCGTAGGTTACTCTAAAGCCTGTCAGGACCTGCAGGAATGTTCCACCACAAACACACACCTGATCCGTGAAGGGCTCARCTGTCTCAATGTCACCACAGCCAGTGCCAAGATCTTACAGAAAATTTGAGGTGTGACAGAGAGCGCAAACAAGAGGCTTCTTCTTTTTGGAAATTACCCTAATTTGGGGCAATATGGGGATATTTCCAGTATCTGGTCAAGAAAGTGAATAAGCACCCTGCTAAAGTCACCACAGCAGCCCTGGGAATGGCACCCAGGAGAGCTTTAATCTCTCAGCAGCGACATTCACATCTGAGGCAAAGAACTGCAGCCCTTGTTCTTTGTACTGACAAAGGCACTTCATTCCTTCCTTAAATGTTTCAAACTGATGGGTGTTCTGAGCCGACTTGTTAACTAGCACCATTATCTGGAACCTGCTAACTCCCCTTTGAAGTGAGCAACAGCTCTCCCRACTCCACCAGCAGCTCCTGGATGAACAGCTGGGAGGGAAAGAGCTTCCTACAAGGCTGCAGGCAGCACCAGCTTTAGCTCTAAAATGGATCCAGAGGGATCTTGGCATCCTCTTATGTCTGCTCTGTGTTTAGGTTTCTCCTTTCATTTCTAGATTAGAGGATTGTTTGGCCTCAGATGTTCTGCTGCTGGTTTTTCTCATGTKCATAGATATCAGCAGGCTGGTACAACATTTATTTTGTGATTTGAGATTAAATATTTGGGCTTTTACATGAACTTCATTAGTTCGGTGTTTTTTTTTCCTGGTTGCTTCCGGAGTTATTCGGAGTCACCCCATTACTCAGCATTTCCTTTGGAGCACTGTCACCCTCAGCAAACAYGTCTGTGGACATCAGCTCCAAATTGTGACATCCAAGTGTCTGACACAACTCCCGAACTTCAGGTTTTAATTACTGATTTAAATAGTATTTTTTTTTTTAATTGAAGAAGAATTAGTGTAAGCATCTCTGTAGAAGTGTGTTGGTAAGTACAGTGTGAGAGGCTGTACAAATGTAATACTTTAACTCTAATATTTGAAGACTCACACTGCAGCCAATAACTAAACTATTCCCATCTCTGCTTTTTGTAAAAGTTTAAAAGTAGTTTTCTTCGCAATCTCTAAAAGAAGTTGAATCTCTTTTGTTCCCAGCTGAATCTGTCCCTTCTACAAATTCAATCAGATGCTGA